CTAGGTAGGTTCTAGGAAGGAGTCCTGTGGGCTCCATTTCCCTCTCCTCTCCACCCCTTCCCCACCCCTCATTTGGAGGAAACGGGCACGCCCACTGGATGGCGTGTGGGGAACCAGAGGGATATTGGAGGGGTGTGGCCCTCAGACCTGGAGCCTCTCCCTTAGGAAGAAGGATGCTTGACATTTTCAGGGGCTGACTGTGTGGAGGGTGGGCTGGTTCCTGACTCTTGAGTTGAATGTGTCCCAGGTCTAAGTGGAGTTTGGGGTAGGGTGGGATGGGCCTCAGGCCCTCCTGAGAGATCTACACTTCCATCCCCAAGTACCACATCAACCCAAGGACAGCAGAGGATACAGCATTTTCCAAGCTCCCCACACACAACTGGACTTACCCCCACCCCCCGGTCAGAGCCACACCCTCCCCAAGCAGGGTCCCCTCCACTGCCCACTCCATATAGATACATTTACACAGCTCCTTCTGCCTACCCAGGGGCCGAAGGCTCCCCCCACCACTGCCTGAGCAAGACAGCACCACCCCTCCCCAGAAAAAGGGAACTAGGCAGGGCAGAAGAGAGAGCGAGTCCGAGTCCGGGGGTCCTGGGACCAGCATGGCTCAGAGGTGCCACCATCCCCCACCCACTGGGCAGGGAGGGCTGTGTCTGTTTTCCCCAAAACTGGAAATGCAAAGGGATATCATTGGGTTCAGGATGTTAGCGATTGGGATGAGAGTGTTCAGTGGTTATTGCTGTGACCCAAGCTGCCTTGAGTGTGTGGGGGATGTATATTAAGTTATCGAAAATTTACTAGCGCATTTGTCACAGACCCAGGGTCCCTCTCCCATGGAGAAAATACTAGTCCCACCAGGAGGCCCCCACTCACCACAAAAAGGTCCACTGGCCCCCGCACTCATTCAGGCACTTATGCACACCACATGCATACACACAGCACACACTACACATCCCCACTGGCCAAGTTCGAGTTCCTGGACAAGAACGCTGTCACCTTTGAGTGCTGCAGCCCTGGACAGAGGGTGGTGCGGGAAGTCCTCAGGCTCACAGTGGTTGCAAAATGAGTTTGGGTCACCTCTGCCTGTAAACCATTTTGGTTTGGTTCATACAGTGATTTTTCTTTTTAAAATTAGATGCCAACAATTAAAAATTGGGAGACTTCAAATAAAAATTAGAAGATAGTGGCAACAATTGGTTGAGCTGAGGACGGTAAGGGCGTGGGAGTTCCCCTGTTTACCACAGTCCCTGAACCTGCCACTTCCCTGACACTGTTTGGCTCTTGTTGATGTGTGAGTTGGTGACACCCATTCGGTGCCCATAGATGCCAGTGTCTTCCCATCTGTCAGCCTGACCCCTAGGACCTCACCAATCCCACTGAGGTCAGGTTTTGGAGCTCCTGCTTTCTCACACTAACTCCTCCTCTGCCCACCTGATCCCCAGAGCTGCTGTGGGCTGCTTGGGGCCATGTGGGACTGAGGGGTTGGAGGTCTCTGGAGAGACAGGGTTCAGCCATTTCAATCAACCCCAGTACTCTGGAGTGACTCCCATCTGGATGCCACCCCATGGCAAGGTGGGAATGGGAAAGGAAGGAAAATATGGCTTGCTGACAACTCCCCTCTTCTCTATAGACCGAGCAGGGAGCCCACCGCAAAGGACAATCAACCAACCAGCACACACAGACCAAGACGTTTCACAAACTCCTGTCAAACACGACCTCCAATTATTCGGCATGGGTGGGTTTTTTATATGTTCTGGTAAATAAAATATTCTGATTAATTTGTTAAATGCAGATAATACTGGGATCTACCTCATAAGCTATTATGAGGTTTAAATGAGTTAATGTTGTAAAGTGCTTAGATCACTGCCTGGCACATAATAAGCACTGTGTGCCAGTGGCTGTTGAATAAAATCACAAATAATTGTAAGCCACCACTAAATGCAGAGTGAGACTATCAAGTGCGAAAACACCACTTTCAAAATACAACAAAGACAGCTGTCTCTTTTCAAAGCTGACCCCGAAGAGGCTACGCACTTTCCCCAAGCAGGGTATCAATCTTGAAACATTCTGGCCTCCTCTTGGGAAATGCTTCAGAAAACAAGAGTGACAATATTGCAGGCTCACAGCATCCCCACCTCGCCTGGGAACTGGCGACTGGCAACGCGACCCAAACCATGTGAAACTCTGCTGTGCTTCACGTGAACTTGATTCAACACAAGTGGCTTAGATGACCTTAACAATTTCCAAGAGTCAGAGCTACCCAGAAAAGACAATAATATTATTAAGATCACCTGTGAGCTCAGAGCTTTATGGCTTACAAAACACTCTCCCCTCCACCATGGAGGATAAACAAAAAGATGTCCCCCTAAAGGACAACATGCTTTGAACCATGGCCTTGCTTCAAAGGACACACCCTCTCCCACAGGTGTCAGTTCTGAGGTGGGGGGTGTCTATTTGAAAACTCAGCCACCTTCTCAATGCTGCAGGATCTCCCACTTCCAAAGGTGTTGGAAACAGTAATACGTACGTAATGCTAAAATGAGGCTGAAGCCAGTGCCATCATCTTTGATATATCACAAGGCACTTTGGGATCTTAGAGTACCTCAGGGTCACTGAGATGGAGCAGTGCTCAGGGTTGGGTAGTGGAACTCTCTAGAAGGGAATGCTGGATCACAGAGTGCTTGGTTTCATCCAACCCCAGATTGGGGGGGCGGGGGTCCCTGCCCACATTGCTACTGACTTACGGAGCAGATGGCGGGCAGGCTCCCTTCACTTCACCTCCTGCCACTACCTGGGGTGGATGGGAGGAGGGCAAGAGGACAGGGCTGGGGGAGGCAGTGCCAGCAGGAGGGGAGTGGGGCCACTGTTCAGCCTCACCCCCGCACCTTTGTGCTTTTTGTTTTCTGTCCCTTCTCAAAGGGTCCACCTTGACCCTCTCCTGCCTACTGCCTGAGCAGGGTGCAAAGCCGTCCAAAACAGCCTGGAGGGCAACAGAGGCTTGGGTTTGGGGAGATTCAAAAATGAGCAGCTGAGATGGGGTGGGGGCGGTACACCAGTATTAGAACCCAAATCTGGCTTTTGTTGCCAGATGGAGAAGGTGCTCTTGGCCCAGACATCCTCAAAAATAAATAAATAAATAAATAAGCAAATAAACAAATAAATAAAATGACTTACAAAGAAAGATTTTGGGGAAAAGAGTGTGTGGCTATGGAGTGGCTTATGTGGATGGTGTGGATGAGCCATGGTGGTCCTCTGTGTGGACAGTTTGGCTCCAGGGCACTGCCCACCACACTTACAGCACCCCCAGGCTGCGGCCAGGGCCCTGAGGCCTCTACTCTAACCAGAGACATCTGGGGGATTGATGGGCCAAGCACAAGTTATGGGGAGAGAGGGGTAGAAGAGTGAAGCTGGGATGAGAGTAGGTACATAGGAAACTACCAATGACTGCATAGACATCTTTCTGGCTCCCTAACACACACATGCATACACACACTCATACAGCACTGTGCAACTTGGGCACGTGCCAGTCACGTTGAGGTCTGCATAAATGGCACTTCCTGGAATTACACAGTGCACAGCCTGAGCATTCATCCATGGCAGCCCTTCCACATGCACAAACGCTCATTCGTAAGCACACTCTTACGCACAAGTGTACGCGCATGCACACAAGCAAACATACAGACACAGTCTCACTGAAATAAACATTTTGCAAATCTTCGGGCCTCCTCCCCTCCCCATACAGGCACTGCCCTTTCTGGCATCCACTTCGCTACTACCCCATTCCCCAGGGAAACAAAGGTGCTGGCTGACATGGGCAGGATGAATAAAGGGAACCTTGGGCTCCCTGCAGTGACAGTTGGGGGCTGAGAAATGGGCAGAAGAGGCATGAGCAAGCTGACATCCTGACACTTCCCCACTCCCAAGTGTCCAGATCCCTATCCAACCTGCCTCTCTTCTGTTGTGTCTTTACTACTACCCTTGGGGGCTCACCGAGCACCGAGAGGAAGGAGCCACCCTCTGAGAAGGGCAGAGGTGGGGCTGCTCCCACCTGGGATTTGTCCTGAGACACTGGTTTTGCTGACAAGCACATACATGGTTTCTCGCCTCATCCTTAACAACCACCTTTGCTGCCACTGCTTCTAAGCTGGGTCTCCTCGTTGCTCAGTTCTAGCCTGCTTTGAGAGGTGGATCCCAGGTCCCTCTCGTCCATCCTCAGTTCCTGAGGAGCCGAGGACAGACATCCAATCCTACCAGGGAGTGATGGCACAGGTGTCTTCGGGGAGGGGCAGCCTACCATGGACTGAGCCTTCCTGGGGTAAGATGTGTGAGGAAGGAACTCTGTCCTCAATGACAATGGCCTGGGAAAGTCTCGCTAGGTCACAGGGCTGCCTCCCCCAATCGCTGAGCATTGAAACACTCCCCACCACATTCCAAACCTGGCTGCCCTGGTCTCCATCCCATACACAGAGCCCCGCGCGCGCGCGCGCACGCACACACACACACACACACACACACACACAAGGAGGGTCTTGGTCTCCTGCCAGCCCCTCGGGGTGGATCAGACCCAGCCATGCCAAGAGATCACAAATTAAACAGAACAAAGCCCATGCCAGAGTGCCTCTGGCCCTGCAGGCCTCATCTCCCTGACACCTTACTTTCCACTGGACTCCGGACCCACCAGTGGCTCCAGCTGAGCGCCCCTGTCCTGGAAACTATACCACCAGCCCCACCCCTCCCTGCACCATTTGGCTGGCACCTACAAAGGGAGCTGATGCGGGGGTGGGACGGAGACTCTGCTTGGGGTGGGAGTATTACAGTACCTTGGGCCAACGTTCTAGGGGGGCTGTATTGCATGATGGGGTGGGATGGGTGTGAGTGTGTGATTATTGCGTCCTGGGAAGGAACCATGGTCTCTGCCTGCTCCCCACCCCCCCCACCTGCCCCCTCCAGGAGGGGGGGGGCCCAGCCTAGGTCTTGTGGGTGAACCGGGCCCACACCTGCTGCAGCTGGGACCGCGAGATGCGGAGCACCGAGGGCATGAGTCTGTGGTTGCCAGCAGCGAGGGGCGCGTGGCGCCGGTGGGGCGCCCGCACAGGGCTGCTCTCGGCCGAGCGGCTGCGCTGAATGAGGGAACCGGAGGAGCCCGAGGAGCCGCCGCCGCCGGGGTGAGGGTAATGCTCCGTCTCCAGCGTGGAGGAGGAGAACACGGAGGACGCCAGTCGTCGCAGGGGGCTGTACCGCGGGAGGGAGTGCCCCGAGAGTCTGTCCTCCTCCAACTGAAAGAGACCAAGAGAGTGGAGGGAAAAGAGGTGTCAGGCACAGACTCGACAGCTCCGTCTCCGGGGCCACCCACCGCTCACAGCCCCTGCGGCGCCGGCGTCCCGGGCAAGTGGGCGGGGTCAGGCAGGGTGGAGGAGGGTGCAAACCACCCGCCCCAAGGTCCTGCCTCAGAATCTAGGCTCTGGCCTCCAACGCCCTTCCCCCTCCTCCTCCTCTCTGGAACTTATCACACTATGGTCTCTGCAAGGAGACCATGGTCACTCACCTCCTCCGAGAAGCCTTCCCGGCTTAGTCCTACCTAGCTCAGGGTTGTTCTGGACTGGGGAACCCTTTCTCTTGGGAAGGTGGCTCTGTGCTCTGAGAGAGTTCCTTGCCATGTGTTGACAGCTGTATGCTGCCTGTCTCCCCAGTTAGATTCCGTGCTACTCATTAGGTCTCAGAAACGTTCCCTGTACATCCTCCGCCTTGATACCCCCGTCCCATCACAGGGAAGTGTTGGGATCTGGGTGACAATGCGGCATAAGGTGGGACTCTAGAGCCCAATTACTCTGTTTGAATCCCAACTCCAACACTTAAAATCTGAGCAAGTTACTGCACCCCTCTGAGCCTCAGCTTCCTCCTCTGTAAAATGGGGGTGATAATAGTGCCCACCTCAAAGGGTGGTCGTGAGGATTCAATGTTATAAGATGCAGCACTTGGAACAGCACCTGCTATAGAGTAAATGCTGCACTCTTCACTGAGCCATTTAGTAAATGCTGCACATCTTCACTGAGCCACTCTTCCAAATGAGGGAAGGGATGGACTCGTAGGAGGAGGGGCAAACTGAAGTATTTTCTTGAAAGTGGCTTTTCCCCTGCCCCCTCAAAGGCTGAGCCACCAGGCAGCCTGTGTACGGGGCTGGGCAGAGCTGCTGCCTCATCTCCTTCAGGAAGAATCCTGCCCTGTGTCCCCATGCCCTCCGAGTGAAGTGGATGTGTCCCAGATATGTGGGGGCAGAAATGGCACCCAGGGTGTTACCAGACCTCTCCCAGCCTGACCCTCTCTCTTCCTGAGACTGAGGCCAGTTGAAATAGCTTTTACAGTGGCAACAAGGACTGACTGGGCCAGCTCCTCCAGGAAGGAGGGGGCCTGCGACACTCAGCTCCAGCATCCCTTGCTGCTGTCAAGTGGGGGCACAAGGGACTTGGCATGGAGCCTCCAGCAGAGTAGGGAAGAGGGAGAACATTCTAATAGGACTGGCTTTGCTCCCACCTTGCTTTCCCTTTCATCTTCTTTTTGGCCAAGTCTAGGATCCTTCTGAGCTAGTCTCATCTGCACTAAAGTTTAGGGGTCTAAGGCCCACCCAGAGAGACCAAGGAACAGAGGCACCACTGTTGCCCAAAACCCCCTCTCACAGCACATGTGGGTGGCTTAACATTCCAGTCAGAGTTTGCTCAGCTGCCAGGCAGATTTTCATAGGATGGCATTGAATCCCAGCGTGCTCTTGCCCTTCAGACTAGGCACCACTTGTGGCCACCTGCTTGTCTTTACACCAGTTGAAATACCACCTGTGTGAGGGGCGCGTGGCTCCCCTGCAAGCTCCCTCCCCTGCAAGCTCCCAGCTTCTAGCAGATAAGAGTGCTCTGTTACCTCCCTGATGGACCTGGATTGTAAACATCTTTCTAGACCTTTGCATCTCCACCCTACCGCTTATGACCTTGAGCTCCAAAAGGGCAGGACTGGGCAGCTTTATTCAACTTTGTCCCCCAGCCCCTAGCACACTGTCCAGCACGTGGCAGGGAAATGCTTTGGTGCCTGCCGGGCAGTGTCTGTGTACTCAGGGCTTGCTGACCTGCTGTGCTATCGGCCAGAGACAACCGATAAAGGCAGGCAAACAGCCCTCCCCCAAATCACACACTTGCTAGCCTGCTTCACCCTTGCCCTAGCTTTTCCCGCCACTCCTAATTTGCACCTTAAATTTCCTTGAGAAGAAAGCCAGGTGTGTGGGGAAAAAAAAAAAACCCCCACACACACCATCACCAAAGAACAATAGATACTTTTAAATAGCCCCAATTGTGCCTGCTTTCACACTGTTTCCCTCCCCATTCCCCACATGTGCAGGTGACAGAGTTGTAGGTGCTCATAGTTTAAATGATTGGTGTTATGAGGAAGTTCACACATCAGGCACTGAGAAAATTGAGCTAGGTCTAGAGAGGGCTCCTCCAAAAAGGTGGCGGGGAAGAGGGAATTCAGCAGAGAGTTCTTGCCTGCCCTAAGCCGCATAATCTCCGCCTGTGGGTGGAGAATCCCAAAAACTGTGATTCTAGGATGCAGCCAGATTTGGGAGGCCCTGCCATAGGCCCAGGCTGGGCTCACCACTTCCTTCAGGCCAGCCCAAAGACAGAAGAAAAAAGTAGGCTGGTCCATTTCTTCCTGCTCCTCTACACTTGATGAAGGAAGATCTCTGCTTCACCCCGCTGTCCTGAAGTACTTGGCAAAACATGTTATACCCCATATGTTCATCCAGAGACACACACAGAGGCTGCCCTGCACACTGACATGCCCACAGGCACACCTGCTGATGTGGCCCAGACAGTGGGTATGCACACAACACACACACACACACACACACACGCTCCAGGCTCTCTCTGATCCTGCACAAACCATCTGCTCTCTATGGCCTGTATGCTTTCTGTTAAACTCACAGACCTCAGGCCAGGCGCAATGGCTCACGCCTGTAATCCCAGCACTTTGGGAGGCTGAGGCAGGTGGATCACCTGAGGTCAGGAGTTCGAGACCAGCCTCAACATGGAGAAACTCCGTCTCTACTAAAAATACAAAATTAGCCGGGCGTGGTGGTGCATGCCTGTAATCCCAGCTACTCGGGAGGCTGAGGCAGGAGAATTGCTTGAACTTGGGAGGCGGAGGTTGTGGTGAGCCGAGATCACGCCATTGCACTCCAGCCTGGGCAACAAGAGCCAAACTCCGTCTCAAAAAAAAAAAAAAACCTCACAGACCTCAGACGGAATGGCTCAGAGCTCAGATCTCGGAACGAACTGCCTGGGTTCAAGTTCTGGTGCTAACACTTACCAGCTGGTGCTCACCAGCTGGGCTAAAAACTTTGCTTCTATGAATCTTAGTTTTCTTACTTTTAAAATCAAGATTCCCTCTTCATAGTGTTGTTGTGAGGAATATACATATAAACATGAAAGTGCTTAGGACGGTGCTAACTATTGTTGTCATTATTAGAATTATTACTCCAATTGTTATCATCAATAGAAATGCTTTGACATTCTAGGCATCTGTGGTTCTGTACACACTTGCAGACCTGCTGCATATTCTACACAAATGCAGTAACATGTGCACCCACCTGCAGGCACATACATATGGACACATCCATCCACCAGTGCACGGCTCGAGCTCCACTGACACAAACACACATGCGCAGGGGCAGAATGCTAACCAACCTTGATTCTGTACACTGTGGGGAACCTGAGACGCACAAACACCTCACCCCCAAAGACACACACAGCTCATCTCTTGCTGACACAGGTAGTGCCTGTCCCTGTCACAAGCAGGACCCAAGCCCAAGACTGACTGATTATAGAATCGGCCTGTGCTTCCCCATCCCACCAAATCTCTCTCTCCCCACCCTCTTGGCCAGAATTCCCCAAAGTGAGGATAAGTCCCAGGACATAGGTAGGAATCTGCAGGTAAGAAAAACTTTAGAGATGAACTTCAGAAGAACCTCAGCTCCCTCACCTGGAGACCCAGAAAGAGACACTGACTGGCCCTCAGTCACTGGGAAGGGAACGGCAGAGCCAGGTCCAGACCTCGGTCTCCTGACTTTAATTCTGGGCTTTCTCTCTTGACACTGTCTGTCACCCTCCCTAGACTCTGCACTTTCTGCGGGTACAACCTATTGTGCAAGTCGCCTCTGATGCCTGTGGTACATGGTACACAGTAAATGCTCAGTGAGTGTGGATGAATGAATGGGAGTGGAGCAAGGACCCCAAACACATTTTGCTCCCCCTCCTGCTGACTGGTGCTGGATGTGGTGGGATCAATGGCTAGTTACAACACAGTGGTACCATCCCGCGTGACTGCCAGGTCTGCCAGGGCTGTGCCTCCAACTCAGGCCAGCTAGGGCCTCTCTGGGTGAGGACTCACGGGCCCCACTTTTTGAGCCCCCAGTTTCCAGTGTCCAGGCAAGGCCGGGATGCATATTCCCCAGGACCACAGCTCGGAGGTCCTTTCTTCTAGAAGGGACTTCTAGATAAGATGGGGTCTGAATGCAATCCTGCCCACAGCTGCTTTTCCCAGGGCACCCATGTGATCCCAAGCAAGGCCTCCCGATCTGAGCAAGTGGTAGAACTGGCCCCTGGCCCAACACCTGGGCACCTCCCAGAGCCACCAAGAGTGTACGCCCCCAACGTGGGACCACTATGTGGAACGCGGCGCAGCCCCTGAGCCCCTTCCGGCATCCCCTCCATGACTCTCTCCAGCCCCTCTGCGGGTTCATGGACCCCATTTGGCACACAGTGCTAGAGTTTTCCTCCATTTCCCAGGTCAGAGGTCAGCCTCTGTCCCACAAGCGAAGCCTGGCCAGGCCAGTGGCTGTCTGCCTATTCTGACACCCTGTCCTGGTCAGAAGAAAATAACCCAAATAGCATGAGACATTTGCAATTTGGCCATCATCTGGCCCCTCCCTGCCCTTGCAGCCTTGTTCCTCAGTCCTCCCACACAAGGAGGTGCCATTGCAGCCAGACTGGGCCCTTCCAGGGCACCCAACACACCTGTCCCTGTGCCCAACTATAGTCTCTCTCGCCTTGGCTCCACTTCTCCCCATGGCCATCCACCTGGCTCTCAGAGCTCACCTCCTCCATGAAACCTGCCCTGATCATGGAAACCCCTTCCCAGTCCTCCTCGCTGCCCTCCAGACATCTCCTGCCCTGATTTCGGGGACCTTCTCCCCCATGCTCCTCCCATGCTCCGACCTCTCCCTCTCACTCATCATGCAGAGCTCCTTCTCCTCTCATTCCCCCTAGATGTGAGCACCTCTCAGCTTCCACTCTCACTTTTGGGTTCCACACCCTGTACAGTCCTCTTGGGTAACATCACCCATTCCCATGGTTTCCCAAACCCCGAAATCTGTATTTCCAGCTGCGATCCCTCTCCTGAGCCTCAGGTACCTACACATGGAAATCCCTTAGATTCCATGAGGTCATTGTATTTTTTATTTTATTTTATTTTATTGTTTTTCTTTGTTTTTTGTTTTTTGTTTGTGAGACGGAGTCTCGCTCTGTCGCCCCGGCTGGAGTGCAGTGGCACGATATTGGCTCACTACAAGCTCTGCCTCCCGAGTTCACGCCATTCTCCTGCCTCAGCCTCCCGAGTAACTGGGACTACAGGCGCCTGCTACCACACCCAGCTAATTTTTTGTATTTTTAATAGAGACGGGGTTTCACCATGTTAGCCAGGATGGTCTCGATCTCCTGACCTTGTGACCCACCCACCTCGGCCTCCCAAAGTGCTGGGATCACAGGCATGAGCCACCGAGCCTGGCCTATTTTATTTTATTTTATTTTTATTTTTATTTTATTTTATTTTATTTTGAGTCAGGGTCTCGCTCTGTCACCCAGGCTGGAGTGCAATGGCACAATCTTGGCTCACTGCAACCTCTGCCTCCTGGGTTCAAGCAATTCTCGTGCCTGCCTCCCAAGTAGCTGGGATTACAGGCAGGCACCACCACGCCCGGCTAATTTTTTGTATTTTTAGTAAAGATGGGGTTTCACCATGTTGGCCAGGCTGGTCTCGAACTCCTGACCTCAGGTGATCTGCCCACCTTGGCCTCCCAAAGTGCTGGGATTACAGGCGTGAGTCACTGCACTGATCAGTTCATTGTATTTAAATCCAAATTCTCACTCCCTTCAAAACCACTCAGAGCATCAGCCGAGACACGAGAAGCCCTGGCCCCCACTCCATCACAGCCCTCTTGGCCTATCCCCAACACCCTTAGCACTATCCACCTTGCCCCGCATCCACAGCCCCGCCCCAGCCCAAGCCACCGGGGCACTCTCTTGCCACTGTCTGCCACGTGGCCTGCCTGCATCTCGTTTCATGCCATTTCAATCCATTTTCCACACAGCAGCCCAAGGATCATTCAACAGTACCAATGTAATCATGTTGCACTCCTTTTTAAAAGCCTTCAGTGGCTTACCAAACCTGCAGCATCAAGCCCCGACCCCCTAGCGTAGCCCTGAAGGCCCTCTGTGGCGGGGCCCAGGGCTGACCTCGCAGCCTTGGCTGCTGCAGTGTGCCATCAGCTCAGTGCTCTCAGATCGCCCCCTCCCGGCCTGTGCAAAACACTGTACCCGTGGCCTGCGAGGCCCTTCTCCCGCCTTGTCATTTGGCTTAATTGCTCACAGTGCCAGACTCAACTCAGAACTGAGAGGGCACTTCCTCTGGGGAGCCTTGTCTGCCCCCTAAACATGGTTTCAGACCCTTAAGCCTGTCTACCTCCATCACGGCCCTGTGACTGCTGGGTTACTGGTCAGTAGTGCCAGCACATGTGGAGCACCCCAGGCCTACACACCAGGACTCTGGGCATCTGGAGATGGGGAGTGGGGTACAAGCCCAACCTTACCTGTCTCTGTGGGCCTGTGGGGTCCGACTCTCTCCGTCGAGGGCGGGGTCCCGAGTGCAGGGGTGAGTGGGAAGGGCTGCCAGGCGTGGGGGGCTGTGACGTCTCGGAACGGCCATCGGCCTGGCTCAGCTGGGGTGGCAGGGGCTGGGGCGGCAAATGCTGCAGGTCCTCCTCGGCCAGCACCTGCATGCTGCGTCCCCGGGGCCGGACGGTGGGCTCTGCCCCCAGCCGCCGCCGCTCTTCGCCCTCCTCGGGCAATGGCCGCAGCTCCTCCGGCTCCTCGTCCGTGGTGCCCGATGTGCTGGGTTCAGCCCCCGGAGGGAAGTCCTTGAGCTCCGTCTCCTTGTCAATGATGACCCACTCTTTGCTGTCGAAGTCCTCCTCCTCAGCCAGCGGCACCGAGCGGAAGGCATTGCTTAGGGCCTCCTGCTCCACAGAGGCTGACACGTCCATGCGGCCACTGGCCTGCCGGTCAGCGTGGCCTGTGTCCACTGACAGCATCTGGGCTGGCTGAGAGGAGCAGGCCTGGCGCGAGGGCGAGCCAGGCAGATCCATCCGTGACCTGCAAAGCCACCCCTCATGGGGCTCAATGCCCAGCCCCACTGGACCCCCAAGAACCCCATGCCTGTGGCAGGGTGGGGTGTGACTCCCGAAACCTGACCGCAGTACCCCTCCCACCTTGGGCCAGGCCAGTTACCTCTAGGTTGTCACCCTCCAACCTCACTTCCTATCAAGGCTTTGTTAGTTCGTTTGTTAGTTCATTCATTCATTCATTCATTCAACAAATGTTTTTGAATGCTTACCGTGCTCCAGGAATACAAACAAGCAGAAAATAAACTCGGGTTTCTGTGCAAGGAACGTTCTCTCCTGGGCCACCCTAGGGAAGCTAATCTTCCTCAGGCAAGCTTTGTTCTTGCCTCTCCAGTGCTCACAACCAGTGGTTGCTTCCTGCTGCTTCCAGGCAAACACACCCAACTGGCCCTTGAGTTTACAGAGGGCTTTCCAGCCTCTTCTGCCACCACCCTCCAGGCCTGCCTGGCTGGTTTCATCACTCCCAAGATGGCCTTGTTAGTCCCAGCTCAACAAACTCCAGTGACTCCCCAGCCCCAACAACAAAGTCCACACTCCTTGGTCTATACTCTAGGCCTCTCACAGCCTGACTATGGCTGTCTCCCCATTTCCCTCGCCAGCCCCATCTTAGATTCCACCCTTACGGCCCACCCGGAACGTGGCCTCTCCCCATAGGACCTCTCCCCACACACAGCCTGTCCTTCTACCCTTTGCTGGCTGATACAGGTTGGTTGTTGCCTTGGGCAGGTAGCCTGCCTTTCCCATCCTGCAAGGATTAGTGCTTTGTATCTCTCTCTCATCACAGGGTGAACCTCATGTCTGTTCACAATCTGTCTCCCCAAGAGACTGTGAGCTCTGCTGGGCAGGGCCTGGGTCCCATCTGACTTTACCCCAAGGGCATTGATCCTGTCTTGGGACATCTCTTCTGTCGTTATCTTTTTTTTTTTTTCCTTTGAGACGGAATCTCTGTCACCCAGACTGGAGTACAGTAGCATGATCTTGGCTCACTGTAACTTCCACCTCCCAGGTTCAAGCTATTCTCCTGCCTCAGCCTCCTGAGGCTTACAGGTGCACACCACCACACCCTGCTAATTTTTGTATTTTTAGTAGAGACGGGGTTTCACCATTTTGGCCAGGCTGGTCTCAAACTCCTGACCTCAGGTGATCCACCCGCCTCGGCCTCCCAAAGGGCTGGGATTACAAGCGTGAGCCACTGTGCCCGGCCTCATTATCTTGAACTGTGCCGTGAATCTCACATTACTTTCAGAGCTTCTCAACTTGGGGCCATGCCAACCCCAAGAGGAGGATATTTCTGGTTGTACAATAGTGTGTGGGAGGATGCTCCACAAGGAAGAATTGCCCTCTCCCAAATGCCAGGGTACCCACTGAGAACCACCACGGAGGCCTAACCTATCTTGGGTTTGTGCCACTGCCTCATGTTCAGGCTGTGGGCAGGGGGCTGACTTTCATTCTCCCCCAGCATCGAGCCTATGGTTCAATGGCTCTTCAGCTGCAGAGGCAGGGGTGCAGATCAGAACCGCCTGTGGGGCTTTCTCAAAATACTCCTGCCCCAGCCTGCGTGGGACCTGCCCAATCTGACTGTGCACAATATTTGTATTGACTTGTTAATAAAGACTTAAATAAAACATCCCTGAGAGAGGCCACCTAGGGTCTTATATTTATGCTCTCATGTAAATGGCTGATATCATTTCCTTTCTGAGGCACAGTTTGTTTTGATGGATGTAAAGGGGAGAAAGGGTGCCAAAGAAGGCTCAGGGCTAGTAGTGCTTGTGTGTGTGTGTGTGTGTGCACGCACGTGTGTGTTTGCATGTGTGTGCCTAGTGGGAGCTCAGACGAACGGTTGGAGACAGGAGGCAGTGGGGTGGGAAATCTGAATCCCAACTGCTTTGTACTGTCTCCTGCTCCCAAGTGCCCCAGAGCCCCAGAGCCCATCCAGAACCTCTGCTGTCTATGATATCCTGTTCAGCCCTCAACTTTCCCTACCATCCCTGCAACTGGGGTTCACTGTGAGCCAAACCAATTTGCTTCTTGTTCCCTAAAAGCAGGCAGCCCTTCAGGACTGTCTCATTCAAGGTATTTCCCACCTCTCTTCTCCATTTATATCCCTTCCCAAACTGCCTTTCCTCATTTCTCCGTCTCCAGGGAGAGGGACTCCAGGCTACCACAGACGAAAAGGGTGGTCTTCAGTCCCAGGTAAGCTAACCTGTGTGAGTGTGTAAGGACTGAGTTTGCTCACAAGGAGACACATGGAGTGGATGCCAGAAAGGATATCCCTCTTATCCCCAGGACGGGGTCTTTGGAAGAGACCCCTTTTCTGGTGCAGAGAAGGCCCCAGTCCTACTGCGGAGTGAAGCCCCACTCAGAGGCCAAGGGAAGGTGGAAACATCTCTCAGGGGCCTCCCCACCTGATGTTGTCCCACCCACCACCAGTGCAGGTGGGGACCGGGCCCTGGCCCATGTTGTCCACCCACCATCTGGGGTCAACAGATCACTCTCCCACCCTCCCACCTTCCCCTCCCAAAGGCTCACCTAGCTTCTAAATGCTCCTTTTCCCCAACTACATTCCCCCTGGTCCCCTCCCCTCTATGACTTCAGATCCCTCAGCCCTAACCCCCAAAACTTGCTCTGACCTCTCTTCCAGCAATTCCCAGGCCCTCTCCCCCAAAGCTGAAGACAGTCTACCTCGGCTGCACTTGAAGCATCTATAATTAGTCTCTAGAAGAGGTTCTGGAAGCACACACACCTACCAACCAACTCACCCCTCACCCTTCCTGGGCCCAGGCACCCAGCCTGTCCCTCCTGCAGCCTGCACTCCCCCAATTCCCTTTCCTGGCATGAGCTGGGACCTCTCTGGATCCCCTACTGGCTTTCCCAGGCCCTGTCTCTGGCCCCAACTGAGTCTGACCCCAGGCCCACGCATAACCCTCTCAGCACTTCCCAGGGTCTGCCCACCTCCGCCACACATCTGACTTTTCCTCCAGACCAGCCATGTGAAGGCGGAGGGGGCCTTGGGCCCCAACCATGCCCCTGGTCCCAGACCCACCTCCTCTCAGGTAGTTCCACTCGCCCGTCCGCCGTGGACAGCCTCTCTGACTCAGGGCTGTTCACCCTCCGGTAGCGCAGAGAACGGACTGGGGTTGTGGGGGAGTCTGGGGGTGCACGCACGGGGGAGCTGGGGACCCCCATGCCTCGGCTCTGTTCCTCCTCCACACAGGGGCTCTGCAGGAGAGGGGAGTGTCATGAGCTGGGGTTGATGAGGCAGCTGTGGGCGAATGGTCTCCTCAGGGTAAAGGAGACAGAGGATGATGATGATGGGAGACGCAGGGAGGCTAGGGCGGGAAGGGACCGGGAAACAGAGGCAGGACAAGCAGGCAGATGGTTGGGGACAGGGTGCTCAGGAGGAACAGGGCGGGGACCCAAGGCTGGGAATCGGGGTAAGAGAAAAGGCCACCCACGCCCTTCGCCCTGGCTGCAGTTACTTTGCCAATGTTGATCCGGAGTTTGTTCCGGTTGACATCTGTCTCCTCCCAGACTTCAGCCTCAGGACCCCCGGGGTGGGGGACAAGGTGGGGACTGGGGCCCAGCCCCTCAGAGGGCCTCCCGGGCAGAATTGGGGGTGCATTCTCCTGGTCACTCAGGTGCTCTCCCTGTAGCACATCCTCGGTGTTCTCCCGGAGCAGGTCCCCGGGCACTGGCGTCACATTGACCACCCTGGAGAGGACAGGAGGGAGCCATGAGCAAGGCTGGTAGGGGTGCCCTCTCCTCCCATGGCCCTCTCCTACCAGCACAGACCTGGAGACCACCCCTAGGAGCAGGCACAGAGGCGGTCCCGTCAGGGGTAAGAGTGTCCCTAGACCCATCACCATTGCTGGCCCACAAAGCCTCTGAGACCAGACCACCCTCAAGTTGGCAGGGGCCGCAAGGAGATGTTGCCATCTAGCTCTGTGGCTTAGTGGATCCTACTGTCGTTCAAGAACCTGCTAGATTTCCATTGGCATTCACTGTCCGGCTTCCTCCTTTAGACCCAGGAATGGGTCTAAAAAGGAGAATCACTTTGGAGTTCCTTTTAAAATTAGTTTTCTTTTATTACTATTTTGCAGTCTGGGAGCATAGATGGAAGTTGCCCTGAATATACACTTAAATTTTTTTTTATTTAATCTTCTTTGATGATTAAACTTTAGAGTTCTTTAAGCAATGTCTGGGCACCGTCATGTGCTACCACGTCCTGTTAAGTCTCCTCCCTAAACATGTCCCCTGAAGCCCCTGCCCACTTCTCTCCTTGGCTCGCTCCTGGGGCTGGGTGGACACCCCCTTCTAACTCCAGCTCCTCCCTGGACCACCTGTGTCTTTGTGCCCATTACATGGTTCTGAAATTGCTGACTCATCGATTTCAAACATCCCAGACTCAGCTGAGAGTGCTTTGAGGAAAGAAGCTGTAACTTTCAAGGGTATGGCCTCAAGACATGGCCGTTAAATTCATGCATATGCATGATAAGAAAGAGATAAACGGTGGGCCTCAGTTAATTTCACTTGGGATTCCCTGCTCTCCCAGGGACCCACTGAGGAAGACGCCCACTATATGATCAGATTGAGGGTAGAGATGTGGCAGAGTTTCCCGAACTCCCGAACTCCACTAAGGATAGGAAAGACAGCCAAGCGAGTCCAGGTAGGAAGACAGGAGAGGAGAGGACCGCCTGCCCTCTTAGGTAACAGCTCCAGGCAGTGGCTGGTGGCTCCCCTTCCTGAGACTCACCCAAACATGGCTGCCGTCTGCCGGGTGTTCTGCTGGGGTGGGGTAGAGGTGCTCGTGGACAGGAGGGCATCGGTGCCTGCCTTCTCCCAGTCAAAGGCCTCATTCTCAGCAATGCCCCGTTCCTTCATGCTGTTCTCAAACACCGACATGATCAACTGCAGGGGGTGAGGGTGGTGGGAGGACAAAGAGGTGACCCGGGGGCTAGCCAGGAGGAAGGGGCAATTGCTGGGATCATAGGGGGGAGACAGGAACCTTCCAGGACAGGAATGGGCCTGGAGGGGGCATTGGAAGGAGAAGGGCACATTGATTTTAAATGAAAACATGCACATGATATGCAAATCAACATGCAAATTATCATCTTGGATTAAGCCCCACTGACTGGACATGAACCCTCTGAGATCTGTCCCCTGGTTACCATCTCCAAACCTCCTCTGCCATTTCCAGCATGTCGGCAACCCTAAACCACTGGGAGTTCCCAAACCCACGCATGGGTGCTGCCTCTACACAGACTGCCCCTCTGCTGGGGCGCCTCTCCCACTCATCCTCTCCTCTCTGCAGCTTCCCTTCTCTTCACCATATATTCTCTCCACCATACAGCTGCCCTACAGGGCACAGTGCATCCGTTTGAATTGTCCACATGCCTATCTGTCAACTCTACATCCCCGGTAGCCAGCACAGGGCCCCAGCCTAGGGGGTGCTTGCAGCTATGTGGCCTTGGGGATCCCATGAAGCTAAGCCAAGATCAGAGGGCATCTCTGCGAAGCTCTGGGTTCAGGAGGTGGCAGACAGCTATAGACCCTCTGAGGTCCCCAGAACACTCCACTTCTGGCTTGGCTGTCTCCAGAGCACAAGGCAGGTTCTCTCTGCTGACAGGACCCACTTGATTGTGTGCGTCCTGTGTGCCTGAGGCTGTCTCTGCTCCCACAGTGCGCAGCAGCGTGCCTGGTACATAGTGGATCCCAGGCAGAACACTGCTGATGTTTTCCCCATTCTGTGATCAGGGTCAATGGGTCCCATGGGGTGTGGTGATGGAGGCTTGGAAAGAGCACTGGACTCGGAGTCAGAAGATGTGCCTGAGCCCAGCCCTGCTCCTAACCACAATATTAGGCCTCAGTTCCCTCATCTATGAAATGGGCATGATCATCCCACTTGCCTCCCGCAGAGTTGTCATGTAAAGTACTTAAAAGCATTTGGCTTCATTAATTGTTTTTGTTTATTTGTTTGTTTGTTTGAGATGAAGTCTTGCTCTGTCACCCAGGCAGGAGTGCTGTGGTTTAATCTTAGCTCACTGCAACCTCCACCTCCCAAGTTCAAGCGATTCTTATACCTCAGCATACTGAGTAGGTGGGATTACAGGTACCCACCATTTCGCCCGGCTAATTTTTGTATTTTTAGTAGAAACAGGGTTTCACCATGTTGGCCAGGCTGGTCTTGAACTCCTGATCTCAAGTGACCCGCCCGCCTGGGTCTCCCAAAGTGCTGGGATTACAGGTGTGAACCACCGCACCAGCCAGCTTCATTAATTGTTAAGAGCTGGGGCTGGGCACAGTGGCTCACGCCTGTAATCCCAGCACCTTGCGGGGCTGAGGCAGGTGGATCACAAGGTCAGGAGCTCGAGTTCATCTGACCAACATGGTAAAACCCCATCTCAACTAAAACTACAAAAATTAGCCGGGCGTGGTGGCACATGCCTATAGTCACAGCTATTCGGGAGGCTGAGGCAGGAGAATTGCTTGAACCCGGAAGGCGGAGGCTGCAGTGAGCAGAGGTCGCACCACTGTACTCCACTCTGGGTGATAGAGCAAGACTCTGTCCCAGAAAAAAAAAAAGAGGGCAGGAATAAAAATATAAGGAGCATTCATTATCATCAAAGTCTTGCTTGGAAGCTTAAATGAGTTAACACATGAAAAGCCCTAAGAACAGGGTAAGCTCTTGATAAATCTTGGCTGTGACTAGTTTACAAGAGCATCCGTGCCTTTAGTGCAGTTAGAAGACCAGGGGGAGAGGCTTGGGGACAAGACGGAGCCATGGAACCTCAGCAGGAGGGAGGTCTGCTGGGGGCAGTCACCTACAGAGTGGTGTCTAGGGAGCAGGGGCAGGGTAGCAGACTCCCACCTGGTAGTCGGGCTTGGTAAAGTAGTCGAGGCTGGCAATGTGGTCCAGGAAGAGGTGGAACTCTGATGGCATGTGCTTCAGCAGCATCCGATGCTCATACTTCTCCTTGATCATCCCTACCTGCTCCTAGAGGCAAGAGGCCACGGGGAGATGGAGCCCCAGCTGCCCCCAAACCCCTTCTGCCACTTCGGACCCAGCTGCCCGGGGCTCACCTTGTCCTTGATCTTCCTCCAGGGCAGCTGGCCCACCGCAAACTCCACCAGCATGTAGAATAGGGACCACAGGTCATCGTGGCGGCCCATCTCCTGGAGGTGGGGGGAGGGGGTCACCCGCAGCTCTCAGGTCCTTCCCTGGGAATGGACGGCTGACCCTTCTCTGAGGGGCATCTGTCAGGGAGGCCTGACACCCAGTCCCCTAAGGACAGAACTGGGGTCTCCCCAAGGCCACAGCTCCATATCCAACCCTCCAACACACACAAGAGTCCCACAGCCAAAACTACCGCATGTGCTTCCTCACCCGACAGGGGTCTGTAGTGAGAACAGAGAGGATGGGGTTCCCGAAACAAATGAAGAAGGGGATGCTGAGTCTGCCACAGAGGGGCCTTCCTCCAACCCAGGGTCTCTGGGGTGGCAGAGTGCAGCCCCTGCCCCACTCTCCTCTCCCCACCCCTCCCCGGCAGCACACTGCACCCTGACCTTGCCCCTCCCACCTCCACATCCCGCAGCCCGGTCTTTGCCACTCACCCGGTTCTTGTGGGCATTGACCGAGGCATAGCGAACAGTTCCTCGAAACCCGGCCACATTCCGAGGCTGCAGAAGGGACACCAAGAACGTCACCCACTATGCCCTCATCTCAGCCACCTCTCAACCCTGCCACCAAGTCTAACTCTTCACCCTGACCACCTCCCCTGGCTGAGGAGGCGGGCTTGCTCTCTGACCTTCCAGTCCTAAACCCGCCTGCTGCCCCTGCTCCCTGCCCAGAGGGGGCAGGAAAATCACAAGGTATGGATGTGGCATCCCCCAAGAGTACAGGCTAACAGAGAGAGGGGACAGGCCAAGTGTGGACCCCAGAGCTGGGTGGTGCTGACACTGAACACAAGGCCAGGCCAGCTTAGGCAGGCACAAGAAAAGTGGGTGAAGGGTCCCCAGATCTGGGAGTAAGGGGGAGTCCTCCACTGTCCTCCCCGCCCCGACGGTACTCACGGGCCGCACATCCCCCGTGGTGTTGGTGTACTGCCGGGCCAGCCCGAAGTCCAGCATATAGCACTTCCTGTAGGTGGAGGGCAGCCTGCCCATGGCAAAGTTTGACTAGGGGAGACAGCAGCTGTGAGCCCTGGGGGCCCCAACCCCAGCTGGGCAACCTCAAGGGGCACCAAGAAACAGCTCTGCAGCTGGTGAAGGGCCTTCAGCCCCACATTCACTCGCCCACAAGGAAACGTCAGTATTCACATGTGTGCACCAGGTCACAGCCTCTCATCTGAGGGGTGGGGGTGATCATCCCCATTATAGAGATGAGGAAACTGAAGGTCAAAGGGCTTGGGGAGCATCTCTGAGATCACACAGCAAGTGGTGACTCAGCCAAGTCTGTCCAGCTCCACATTTTTGGGACTCCCCAGCAGGGCAGTGTGATTTGGTGTAACTGGTGTGGCTGCCCCAGGCAGCAGGCCTGCTGGGTGACCTTGCGCCATTCAACTAACCTTTCTGGGCCTCAGTTTTCATCTCTTTAAGTAGATTTTTCCTAGCACAAAGATTCAAGATGCCACAAAATCAGCTACTTGGAACTCCTTGTCAAGTCCCAGCCCCTCAGTCCCCTTCCCTCAATCCCTCCATCCTTTTCCAGCCCCCTTCACCTTCCTAGGTTCCAGGACTCTCAGGCCAGGGGCAAGGGATAAGGAACAGAAGGGAAGAACAGAGGAGAGGCCTGGGCATGGACGAGGGGCAGGCAGGGGTGCATGCTCCTGGGAAGCAGGGGAGAGGAAGAGATGGGGCCTGGGAAGGAGAGCAGGAGGGGCTTGGGGAGAAGAGTCTGTCCCATCACAAGTCCCAACCAAGGTTTCGGAGGAGAAACCAGGAGGCCCAGGGAGAGATATGGGGGTGTGTTCTGGAGGAGGGAACAGAGAGGCGTGTTGGGGCAGTGCTCACAGGCTTGATGTCACGATGCAGGAAGCCCACAGAGTGGATGGCCTCGATGGACTCCAAGATCTGCTTGCCCAGCCGCAACGTGGTGCTCAGCGTGAAGGTGCCTCGCGGCTGGCTGCGGCGCAGGTCGGCCAGGTTCCGGCCCTGCATTGGGGTGGAGGTGGGGTGTAGACTCACCCTCAGCCGCCATCCCAGACACCACCATTGTGATACTCTTCCCAGCCACACCCCAAAGGGTCGTGCCCACTCCCCTCTCCCAGGGCCACAGTCTCCCTTCCCTTCCCCTACCCTGGAGTCACAGCCCAAGCTCTTAGAGAGGGGAGGGAGGATGGGCCATGGGGACTCACCTGGAGCTGCATCACTACATAGTTAAACTTCTCGTTCCTGCCACAGCCAATGAACCTGCACACATGGTCCTTCCCTGAGGGGCAAAGACACAGATCTTCCAGCTGTTACTCTTTCTTCCTCACTTCCAACCCTAAGATGGGTTCCTAGTGCACTCTTGATTCCTGGTCCCTCTTGATTCCTGGCCCTGTGAGTGCCTCTCTTGCCACCTCCCTGGCCCTAGCCTCATCATGTCTCCTAGACTCCAGCTTCATCACTTCTTTGATCACCAACCTGGCCTTCTGCCCCATCACTCTCTTAGACCCCGGTCCCATCTCTCTTAGACTCTGGCTCCATCACCTCCCCCTTAGCTCCTGGCTCCATCCGCTCTTCCCTCTACCACACCACATCTCCTCCCTCACCCTAGCTTCTGATCTCATCGCCTCTCTTAGCCCCTGCCTTCATCATCTCTTCCCTCCCATTCCCCTGCCCAAGGCCCGAACCTTGCAGCTTCTTCAGCACGGCCACCTCCATCTTGAGGACCTGCTTGGGCTGCTGGGCTGACTCCACCTTGAGGGCCACATTCTCCCTGGTCAGCAGGTCCATGGCCTCGTAGATCTCACCAAAGCCCCCGCCCCCGATCTTTTTCAGCTATGAAGATGAGGGGATAAGGTGTTCAGGGATCAGTCTGAACAGCTCCTCATCCCACCCGCTGCTGAGTTACATCCTTCATTGGTGGGGAAGGGAGGTATCTTTTTTTTGTCTTTTTTTTTTGAGATGGAGTCTCACTTTGTTGCCCAGTCTGGAGTGCAGTGGTGCAATCTCGGCTCACTGCAACCTCTGCCTCCCGTGTTCAAGCAATTCTCATGCCCAAGTCTCCTGAGAAGCTGGGACCACAGGTGCCTGCCACCACGCCGTCCTAATTTTTTATATTTTCAGTAGAGACAGGGTTTCACCATGTTGGCCAGGCTGGTCTCAAACTCCTGACCTCAGGTGATCCAGCCGCCTTGGCCTCCCAAAGTGCTGGGATTACAGGCATGAGCCACCACGCCCGGCCAGAAGGGGATATCTTTGAAGGGGAGAACCTCATGTCTCTCTTCTTTACCCCACCCCATCAGCACCCCACTCCTCTCCTAGTGCCCTGGGACAGACACCTCAGCTCCTGAGCAACCACACACACACACACACACACACACACACAGGGCCAGATGTCAGAGTGGGTAGTAGGAAAGGGTAAAAGACCTGTGACCTCATAGAGATATGGAGAAAGCCTAATGTAGGATTCTGAGGGGACCCTGGACTGCCCTTGACCTTTTCTTCTCTAGAAGGACAACAAATATCATGTTCCCCCATCCCCTGTGTAGACTGAGCAACCCCTATCCAGAAGGAAAACCAATTTCAGGACCTCCTATCCTCAGGGCGGATTGATTACCTGGGGAAGCAGGCACTTCCTGGGGTTGGCAGCCCCCCGAGAGTCACAAGAAGGAGAGAGTATTTGGGCAAGGGGATTCAGCAAAGGGTGTTCGTGGCCCATGCTCACTGTGGAAGCTCACATCACTCCCTAGGTCAGATGCCCACAACCAGAATGAGCCGCCTCTCCAGGGCAGGGGGTACTGTGGGAGCGTGGTGGGACCGGGGCCTAGAGGGAATGGAGCAGTGGTCTGACCCTCTTGGCCTCTCACTCCAGCCTCCCAAAGCAGGCATGAGAAAGGCGGAGAGGAGAACCGAAATAAAGTGAAGGAAGAGCTGGCAGGGAGCCGAGCAAAGCTGAGTTCTGGGGAGGGTCTCAAAATCATTTCAGCTCAGAGGCCCGGGGGTCCTGGAGGGTGAGGGATCTGCTGGCAGGCATGGGGAGCAGGGAGAAGGTGCTGATTTCCAAGCTGAGACTGGTTTGGTTTAAGAAAGATGTACATGACCTCAGAGGAGGTCCACTGAAAAAAAAAGAAAGAAGGATGGAGAGCTTGATGCTCACCCCCTCGGGGAGCTGCCTCAATGGGGGCCTGTCCGCTCTGTGCACCTTCCCAAACTCTCATTCTGTCCTGCTGGCTTATAACTCTGATCAACCTGCAGACTCTGGCCCCTCAGCCTCCTGCATCTCTGAACCTGCCCCAAACATCTGTTCAGCCCTCAGATGTCTTGTGATTGTTTAGTGGTGGTTGACACTGAGGAATGGAGGGAGGAAGACTGACTAGGCAGAGCTGGAGGGCTGGGAGTTCCCAGGTTACCACTGAACTCACTCCAGAAAGAGACAGGAGCAGGAAGGAAAGATTTGGAAAAGAAGCAGAATGCTGGGTGGGAACTTCAAGGTGCCTGTGTCTGGGAAGGAGACAGGGAAAGAGGAAGGAGGAAGAACAGTGAGAAACCAGAGTTCCTGTCTCCTGGAGACGAAATTTAAAGGCAGGATTTCAGAGCCAGGAGGGGACAGACAGACTCACGGGAAACAACAGCTTGTCTGCCTCTGGGGTACTTTAAACTCTGGGGAGATGCGAATATCTTCTAGATTCCTTTATGGTTTGCTTGTGCGAGAACAGAGGAAAGGGCAAAGGGGAGGGGACAACCACATATTTTTCTCACAGATGTCATCTCAGTTAATCCCCAAAGGCTCCTGGCAACACAGGTGATGAAGGTCATGTGATTCCCCATTTTGCACAAAAGGAAAACCAAGGCACGGGAAGTGCAATACCTTTTCCCACGTCACACTGCTAGTTAATAGCAAAGGCAGGTCCAAGCGCGGTGGCTCATGCCTGTAATCTCAACACTTTGGGAGGCTGAAGCGGGTGGATCACCTGAGGCCAGGAGTTTGAGCCCAGCCTGGCCAACATGTCAAAACCCCGTCTCTATCTAAAACTACAAAACATTAGCGGGGCGTGGTGGTGGGCACCTGTAATCCTAGCTACCTGGGAAGCTGAGGCAGAAGAATCGCTTGAACCTGGGAGGCGGAGGCTGCAGTGAGCCGAGATCGCACCATTGCACTCCAGCCTGTGCAACAAGAGAGAAACTCCGTCTCAAAAAAAAAAAAAAAAAAAAGCAATGCCAAGTTTCATTGAAACCCAGGCAATCAAATGCAGAATCCATAATGTTGCAGAATCCATAATGTTGCAGAATCCATAATGTTACAGAAACTGTGGACCCATCAACATTAAAAGTGTGAGTGCTGAGATTCAAGCCCAAATCTGCCAGGCTCTGAAATCATTGCTAGAGATAAGTCAGGAAGGCTCGGGACAGCCAAGACATTTATGACACCTACTTCCCAATTTCCCAGGGTGCCCTGGGGTATTTCTCTACCACCTTCGTTTCCCAGCAGAGCCTATTTCTCCTTCTTTACTCCCCTCCTTCCCCACCCACCCCCCACCCATTATGGAACTTCCATAAGACAGGGAACTGGGTGTCTTCACCACCCACTCCACCAACATCCCTTCTCCTTTTCACCACAGCTAGGGCAGACTTATACATGAGACACAGTGACTAGGCCCCTGATACCTCTAGGGGGTCCATGAAAATGTTTTAATTTCTTTTAAAATCATAAAGGAGGCCTCATGGTGCCTCATGCCTGCAATCCCAGTTCTTTAGGAGGATGAGGAGGGTGGATTACTTGAGGTCAGGAGTTTGAGATCAGCCTGGCCAACATGGGGAAACCCCATCTCTACTAAAAATACAAAAATTAGCCTGGTGTGGTGGCAGGTGTCTGTAATCCCAACTACTCAAGAGGCTGAGGCATAAGAATTGCTTGAATCTGGGAGGCAGAGGTTGCAGTGAGCCGAGATCTCATCACTACACTCAAGCCTGGGTGACAGAGTGAGACCCTGTCTCAAAAAAATAAAATAAAATAAAAAATCATCAGGGGAAAAAAATGAACCTTTAGGTCAAAGAGAACAATCTAGTATATAATATTAATATATTCATCTTTATACCAATGCAGTCATAAAATACAATTTTAAGTACTTTCTTATGGAGGAAGGGGCCCAAGAAAGTCACAATGTGGCCTGCCCACAGTCCAGTAGTAGGAATATTCTCTCAATCTCCCTTTTCTTCACTCCTGCTAAATTTTACATGATTCCAGGCCCTGCTGAAGGACCTCCCTAAACTAGAGGAGAAATATGACACAATAGAATCAGCATTGGTCCTCGGGAGGAAGGAGACCTGGTTTCTTGGGCAGCTCTGGGTGGCCTGGGGTGAGTTTCATAAACTCTCTGAGCCTCCACTCTTCCTCCTCTGTAAAATGAAGAGAGTTGGACTAGAATTGGTCACAAAGGTTTCTTTGGCTCAGTGGTCCTGATTCTTGGATGGGCTGATTCTTGTCAGACAGACCTAGTCATGGAGACTTGGCAAATTAGCTAAGCAATTTCCTCAGTTTCCACACCTGTGAAATGGGATTAATAAATGGGAATACAAATCTACTTGGTAAGTTCTTGAGACAATGCACATAAGGCATTTTGCACAGTGCCTGAAAACAGTGAATGCTCAAAGCAAATGCTAAGTCATTATTACTATTATTGTTTGCTATTCTGATTCTGAGAAGCACCCCTCAAGATGAATAAAATGTTATTATTTTATTTTATGTTTTTAGAGACAGGTTAACCAAGCTGGATTTGAACTCCTGGGCTCAAGTGATCCTCCTGCTTCAGCCTGCCAAGTATTGAGGATTTATTTATTTGTTTATTTAGAGGCAGAGTCTCGCTCTGTCGCCCAGGCTGGAGTACAATGGCATGATCTCAGCTCACTGCAACCTCTGCCTCCCAGGTTCAAGTGATTCTCCTGCCTCAGCCTCCCGGGTAGCTGGGATTACAGGCGCCCGCAGCCTGGCCTGGCTAATTTTTGTATTTTTAGTAGAGATGAGGTTTCATCATGTTGGCCAGCCTGGTCTCAAACTCGTGACCGCAAGTGATCCTCCCACCTCGGCCTCCCAAAGTGCTGGGATTACAGGTGTGGGCCACCATGCCTGGTCCCCGTATTTATTTTTAAATGCTACATCTAGTGCCACAGACCCCCATTTTCTCCTGGCCACCGAGATCTATGGGCAGTTTGCCTTGGTTCTTGAGCTCTGCCTCCCACCTCAGTGCCATCCTCACCGGGAACAGGTTGAAGGGAAGCATGTGGCCCCTCACCCTCTCTAACTCTCCAGGGGCGGGGGTCGGCGGTGAGGAGAGGTCGGCATGCTTGCCCTCCCCCCAGCTACCCGCTCCATTTCGCTCCCCACTCATCTTCCATGCCTTCCCTCAGAAATCCAAAAAAGTTCTAGCCTAAACTCCCATGTGTGTAAAAACTGTTTTTCCCTCACCACTTCGGTGTAAATGTCATTCTACCTCCAATCCGCCAGAAACTAAGCTCGGGTGCCAGAGGCCCCGAGGTCTCGGAGGAACACTCCTCTCTTTGCCAGATCCTCGTTCCTTTTATTACCTCCCTGGCTCTTCCTCCCCCATTTCTGTACTCTCCCTCTCAGGAAGTCCCCCCTCTGGGACAGAAACAGCCCATTTCCTCACCCTTTGAGGACCCCTAGAAGTCTCCTCCTCTTCACCCCTTCCACTCCCAACCCCCAGTCCCAGAGACATCTCTGAAAACGCCGCCACCGCTGCCTCTTTCTAGGCTTCTAGGGGACCTGCACGGCCGATGGCTGTTGCCGTGGAGACCCGCCTGCACCCGGGCCTCACCCTCCTCTCCAACCCCGCACTCCCGTGAGCTGAGCCTCCCCCTACTAAAGCACGCGGGCGCGCACACTCGCAAGCACACACGCACACACACACACGCACATACACACGACTCGGAGTGTACCTGACCTCTGTTGTTCTCCCTCCCCTCCTCCTGGCTTCCCACTCCGGTGCAGTCCCACAGGCTCACACACGGGTTCCCCCACACTGCCGCCCACAGTTCGCCCCACATTATCCTGCTCCCACAATAAGAGGACACCAGAGCGCTATTAAGTGACGGAAAAGGGGGGGGGTGATTTACAGTAGGTCTCCCTCCCCAAACGCTATCATTCCCCCAGCCCTCACGCGCCCCCTCCTAGGCAGGCCCGCTTCCCGAGGAGGCTGAGACTACAACTCCCAGCAGGCCCAGCAGCCCGAAGCCCTGGGCTGGAGGAGCAGGGCACGCCGGGAGATGGAGTCTCGCCGTGCTGCACCTGCCGCAGGACCCGGCGAGGGGAGGAGGCTGGATGGAGAAGATGGAGTGCGGGTGCGGCGGGAGCAGCCTTCAGGGCCTCTTTCCCCAAACACAAGCCTTTCCGTCCTCTGCGGAAGCGGAGGGACACATGCTCGTCCACTGTCCTTCTCCAAGGTCCGTCAGAGAAAAAGCTCCCTCCCCCACCGCTCTTCCTCCTCCCCACACTGGCCTCTGCAGCTCCTGCATCCAACCAGGAGTTGTTCCAGGCTTGGCCTGACCAACGTGACCTAGCGGGGAGAGGGGTGATAGAGGGCAGGGCTGGAGAGAGGGCACTGGGAGAAAGCTATTGTCCACATGTGGTGGCAAAAATAATGACCTGCAAGCAGTATGCAAATGAGCTTAGAGGCACCTCCCTCTTAGGGTAGGGGAGCGGAGGGCACTGGTTTTAACAAGTCTTCAGGTCCTCGCCTCCCTCCCCGCTACCCTCCCTCTGCCCCGCCGGGTCACTCACTCACCACCTTCCAGCGATCCTTGACCACGTAGTTGGCCGGCAGGATGTCGGCCTGCTCCCCTCCCCCACTCATGTTGGTTTCGTCCTTAAGGGCTGCCGCTAGGCACTGCATCCGCCAGCCAGAGGGAGGGGTGTCCGCAGGGCCTGCCCTGAGGGGGCCATCTACCTAGGGGAGTGCGGAGGGGCTGTGAGGGCGGGCTGCGGACCCAGGACCACCTGGCAGATAATGGAGGAGAGGAGCTCCACTCCTGCCCCGCATTCTTCCTGGTCCCGCTGGACAGATGCTCCAGGAGTTACCAGAGGAAAGATTGTATAAAGGCCAGTGCAACGGAGGTACAGACTACGAACTGGAGATGGTTAAAATCAGCAACAGGACACACATGTTGACCAATGAAGAAGAGGAAAATGACAGTGAACAGGCTGAGGGGAAAGAGATATGCTAACTGATGCCAGGAAGACTGGCTGACCAACGGAGCATACCAGACTGGGATCCTCTCCCTTGTAGGGGAGGCCTAGGCCTTGGCTCCCCCTTAGGGGAGTCCCTGTGTCACAAAATGTCCATGGAGTTGTGCAACGGAGGCTTAGTGAAAAGGGAAGACCTGCCACCCAAGGGGTGACCCATGGGACACCCACACCAACGTGACCTGCTAATCAGCCCTGAGAGATGTGGTAATTAAGAAAATGAGGGAAGGCACTAAAGCCCCTTGAGGGTGGTGTTAACTGAAGGGAATGCAGGTGCTGAGAGGCACACACCTTTCTCAGGGTGAGCTGAACCCACTGACACAACCATGGGGTTGGGAGGTCAGGATATGAGAGATGAGGTGAACACAAGTGACAGATTCAAGACATGGATGTCAGATGGACAGCAGCCTTGTGGCCACTCCAGAGGGACAGAGGTGGGCTGAATTGGGGAGGGCAGGAAAATGGGAGGGTCCTAGCAGAAAGCAGGAGGAGTGAAAGGGAACAGCAGGTCTGGGTGGGCATGGGGTGAGAGAGCCTCTGACCACACCTTTCTGTGTCTGCTTAGGAATCAACAAGAAAGAACACAGCTCTCCTCGAATTAGGACAGGTAGAAGTTGGATATCAGGGAGAGTTTCCCAATGGCAGGGGTTGGGAGAGCCAGGCACATGTTACCGGAGAAATGCCCATGTATGCGTGTGTGTATGTCTGTATGTGTATCTGTGCATGTATCCTTCTGTGTGTGTATGTGCCTTTGTGTGTCTTTCTTTGTCTATCTTTTCTGTGTGTCTCTCTGCTTTTCTACATGTATCTATGTGTCTGTATGTGCTTGTGTGTGTTTTGTGTCTGTGTGTGATGTGCATGTGTGTAGGCAAGGGGCCAGAAGACATGACTTTCTGAGATCTCTGCCACCCCAGGACAGAATTTGGAACCAGGATATTTTCCTCTTCTCTTTCCCTCACATTTTTTAGAAGCACACTACTGTGCCCTCACAATGACCCTGGAGAGTCACAAATAGAGAAAGAGGGAAGTTACTTAGGCTGGGGTTTGGGGGTTGTGGGTGGGGGGAGGTAGGTGGCTAAAGAGATCTATAGATGGGGTAGAAACTACATAAACCCCCCTTTCCTTGGGATGAAATTACTTCCCAGGGCTCCTGCATCTAGACATCCTACCATAGGGGACAGGGTGGGACGTGGAGGTGTGGAAACCACCTTCCAATTCATGATGTGCCACTGTGAACATATGGAGAAGGGATCTTCATGGGGAGGGACGCTGCCACTCCTTTTCTCTTTCTTCAAATGACTAAGCTGAGCTGTTTCCTCCAATCCTTACAACTTCAGAGCATCAGGACTTCCCTCCTTCTGCCAAAGTGGGATATGCAGCATCAGGAATTTGAAGGGCAGTGAGGGCAATGGCAGGATGAAGGGAGAGGTAGGGATGGGGCTTCTGGAAAAAAGGTGGAGGAGACAGGTTGAGGACAAGACTGAAGAAGCAATTGAACTGGTGGGAGGGAGCCTTCAGAAGTTGAACTGGGTGAACTCTGATGGGCTTTCCAGTCCTAGGACAGTGGATCTCTTAGGTTGATAAGGAAAATTTGTGTTCTGCTCCCATTTTATAGATGAGCAAACCAAAAAGAAAGAGATGAGGCAAGAGAAGGAAGAGTGGAGCTGGGAAGATAAATGAGGGTTACCTGCCTCTCCCTCTCCACTATCCTTCTCTCTGTGTCTGAGGACTACGCTCAGCAGAGACCGGGTTGGATAATACAAACACGGGACACTTGGTTGCCCCATAACTGCCGCCTCAGGCCCCTATGTGCGCATGGGAGCATGGGCGCATGGTGAAGAGGAGGGCTTGTGCAGTTTGTATGAATATCTGTCAGAGAGTGCAGGTAGGATCATGTGGGGCCAGTGATGGTACATAGGGGTATGTGGAAGTGGTGGGAGCTCATCATGGCCTGTGGATACAAGTGTTGATGTGTAACTCTGCAAGGTGTCAGCAGGTGTGTGTGGGAATCTGGAAGCCCAGGTAAGGAGAGGTGATGGAGACCAGCGAGAGGTGATGGGGACAGGTGAAAGAGGTGTGGAGGGAGGCAGAGGGGAATGTCAGGGATGAGAAGCAACAGGATTAGAGGAGGGGGGTGGGTAGGATAGAGACTGGTGAGAGAGAATGATGACAGGCAAAGAAGAGATAGGACCATGGGAGGGATTTCTGGGCACAGCTGAGGGGGTGAGGAAGTAGGCAAGAAGACAGGTGGGAGGCATGGAGAGACTGAGGACAGGGAGGGAGGTTATGGAGACAGCCGAATGACTCGTCAGGGGTGACAGGAGAGTCAGGGGTGAAGCCATGGGGACAAGGGACGGAGGTGAGTGGGGAGGAGCAAAGTGCCGGGAGGACGGGTTGGGGAGGGAGGTCTGTGTGCTGGGGACAGGGAGCGGCTCCAGGCCTCGGTGCGGCCCAGGCGGTGTAGGCCAGCGTCCCAGCCCAGCGGGCGGCGACAGCAGCGCGGAGGGGAGCCCAAGAAGGCTGCGCTGGGAGGCGAGCCAGGCGGAGCCCCCTGAGCCCACTAAGGAGCCCCCGCCCCGACCCCGGCCCGCCCCGCCCCGCCTCACCTGCTCTGTGCCCGCTGCGGCTGCGGCTGCGGCGGCGGTGGAGGCAGCGGCTCGGGGCGGCGCATCCCCCGGGGCCGGGGCGGGGCGGGGGCGGCTCAGTGCGGCGTTGGGCGACCCGCTCCCTCCGGCGGCGGCGGCGGCGGCGGCCTTCCGACCGGGACCATCCCGGCCCGGCCCGGCCCCGATCCTCCTAGGGCGACGGCGGCGGCAGCGGCGGAGCGGGGAGCTGCCCACAATGCACCGCGCCGCCAGCATCAGCACCAGCCCTGACATCACCGCCCGCTGCCCGCTCTGACATCACCGCTCCTCCTCTGACATCACGTTCCGCCGGCCCCGCTCCGCTCTCCTCCAGCCCTGGGATTCTCTGGCTGTCCCGCTCCAGCTCTCAGGTTCTCCTTACCGCTCTCTGCCACTCACTTGACTCCATCTCCCAGCACAGCCCCATCACTCCTTACCTGCTCCCATAAAACTCACCTGTCTCCATCACCTTTTATCTTCCCCACTCCCAGTATGTCTCTAAACTTCCTCACCTGACCCATCAGTGTCGCCTGATTCCCCACTCCGTTCTCTACATGTTTATATCTCCTTCCTCTAAACTCATCCCCCTCTCCTGTACCCATCCTCCCATACGTCCCCATCACCCACCTCTTCTGGGGCCATCCCACACTCTCACCCACCACCTGTCACGTGTAATTCTCACCTCACCACCTATATGCTTTATCTTTTGGCTCAACCTGTGTCTCTCTTTCTTTGGCCCTTTCTTTCATTTGTGGACAAACACTGCCATTGGTTTTTACTGCTTACCAAATAAGATGCATACTCTTTACTGTAACATCAAAACACCTTCCCAACATGGACCCATAAGGCCATTACTCCCCTTCTGACATGTTGGATTACTCAACAACTCAACAATCCAACATTCCTTGAACAACAAACTCTGCATGCCGCCTGTCTCTTTCAGTTTCTTCCTTTTTTTTTTTTTTTTTTTTGAGACAGGGTCTCATTCTGCTGCCCAGGCTGGAGTGTAGTGGCACAGTCTCAGTTCATTGCAACCTCTGCTTCCTGGACTCTAGCGATTCTCCAGCCTCAGTCCCCCAAGTACTTGAGACTACAGGTGTGAGCCACTATCTCTGGCTAATTTTTGTATTTTTTTGTAGAGACGGGGTTTCACCATGTTCCCCCAGGCTGGTCTTGAATTCCTGAGCTCAAAGCCATCTGCCCACCTTGGCCTCCCAAAGTGCTGGGATTACAGGCATGAGCTATTGTGCCCAGCCAGCCAGTTCCTTCCTTCCTTAATGCCTTCAACAAATGCACACAGAGCAACTTCAATAATAATAACAACAACAACAACAATGGGCCAGGTGCAATGGCTCATGCCTATAATCCCAACACTTCAGGATACCAAGGCAACAGGATCGCTTGAGCCCGGGAGTTCAAGACCAGCCTGGGCAACATAGTGAGACCTCATCTATACAAAAAAATCTAAAAATTAGCTGGGTGTGGTGGTGTGCACCTGCAGTCCCAGCTACTCGGTAGGCTGAGGGGGAAGGATTTCTTGAGCCCAGGAGGTCAACACTGCAGTGAGTCGTGATTATGCTACTGCGCGCCAGCCTGGATGACAGAGCAAGACTCTGTCTCAATAATAACAACAACAACAGCAACAATTGCATCAGTTATTTACTTCCGCCAGATACTACTCTGACTTTACATATGTTAATTAATTTAATCCTGATGACAACCCTATAAGGTAAGAGTACTATTGTTATCCCTTGTTTTATAGACGAGGAAACTAAGATACACAGAGGTTAGGTAATATGCATTCGGTTACACAGCTAGCAAGTGGCAGAGCTAGAATTCAATCCCTGGCCCTGGAGTCCACGGTTCTAATCACCACGTTGGGAGGAAGGATCATTGAGCCTGCAAGAGTAATCAGGGAAGGCTTCTTGGAGGAGGCACATTCAACTGTAATTTGAAGAATTAGTAGAATTAGTAGAAGTTTGCCAACAGAGAAGTGGGGCCAGGGCAGAGGATGAAAGAGACTTCCAGGCTGAGAAGACAGCATGAGATGAGGCTGGGGTGGGCATGTGCAAGATCATGAAGGATCTTGTGTGCAGTGCTAAGATTAGATTTTACCCATTTGGTTTTTGGAAGTGTAGTGGATACTGTGGAGAGCCATTCAGATCTCCCTTCAGAATCTAGGTGCGTATTCTCCCAGATATGAGATGTTGAAGGCTGACTGCTTTCAGCTAACCTGTTCTCTGGGAATTGCCTTTGGCCAAGGGAGCTGCCTCATTCAAGATCATGCCCCCTTCCTGGGACATCCCACATCCAATCGATGAGTATAAAGGCCTGGCCCCCTTACTTCAATTGGGAACACCTCCTAAGGGACATCCCATTTTCAAAACTAATAGGGACAGCTGAGGCTTCTATTGAGACTACATCAGAGCTCAACTCCCCGTTCCATGCAACCTTGCCTTCTTCAGTCCTCCACAGAGGTTGATCACCAGATCACGTCCCAATAAACTTACTGCATGATCGTCTCTGTCTCAGAGGCAGTGTTCTGGGGAGCCTGATTTTCAGATAGGAAACCACTGAGGAATTTTGAGCAAAGACGAGACATGGTCCGATCTGAGTGTTGGGTTAGAATTCTAGTTTCTTTTTCATTTTTGTTTTCAGTACTTTAAAAATGTTGCTCTATTATCTTCTAACTTGCATTTTTTTCTGATGAGAAATTTGCAATTATCCTATCTCTGTTCCTTTGCATGAAATCTATGCCTTTTATGCGTCTGTTTTTTTAATTTGTTCTGTTTTGTCTTTTGAGACGGAGTCTCGCTCTGTTACCCAGACTGCTGGAGTGCAGTGGCACTATCTAGGTTCAAGTGATTCTCCTGTCTCAGCTTCCCAAGTAGCTGAGATTACAGGCATGCACCACCATGCCCAGCTAATTTTTTGTATTTTTAGTAAAGACAGGGTTTCACCATGTTGGTCAAGCTGATCTCAAACTCCTGACCTCAAATGATCTGCCTGCCTCAGCCTCCCAAAGTGCTGGGATTATAGGCATGAGCCACCACGCCCAGACCAAGGCTTCTGGTTTCTTTTAAGATTTTCTCTTTGTCACTGGATTTAGCTGTTTAAGCTATTTGATTATGATGTGTCTTTTTTACATAGTTTTATTCATGTTTCTTGTGCTTGGGGTTGTTGAGATTCTCGTATCTGTGCATATATAGTTTTCATCAAATTGGGAAAATTTTCAGCCATTATTTTCTTAAATATTTTTTCTGCCCTCCCCTTTCCTTCAGGGACTCCAATTACCCTGTATATTAGGCCATTTGAACTTGTCCCACAACCCACTGATGCTTTACTTTTTCCCAGCCTTTTTTCTTGCTGTGTTTCATTTTGGATAGTTTCTATTGCTATGTATTCAAGTTCATTAATCTTTTCTTTTACAGCATCTTATCTAGTATTAATTCCATCCAATGTATTTTTCACTGTTGTTTACAATTCTGGAAGTTCGATCTGGGTCTTTTAAAATTTTCCATATCTCTACTCATTTTTTTCTTCTAACTTCTTAAACATATGTAATTATTATAATGACTGCTTTAATACACTTTTCTACTAATTCTATCTAAACAATTTCTGGATTCGTTTCAACAGATTTTTATTCCTACTATGGGTCATATTTTCTGCTTCTTTCCATGTCTAGTAATTTTTTACTGGATGCCAAATACTGTGAATTTTACCTTGCTGAGTCTTGTATATTTTTATGTTTCAGTGAATATGATTCAGCTTTGTTCTGGATTGCAGTTAATATTTAAGAAGTAAAAAAACAGACTGGGCATTGTGGTTTATGCCTGTGAATCTCAACATTTTGGGAGACAAATGCAGGAGGATTGCTTGAGCCCAGGAGCTCAAGACCAGCCTGGGCAACATGGAGAGACCCTGTCTCCACAGAAAAAAAAAAAAAAAATCAAAACTTAGCCAGGCGTACTAGCATGCATCTGTGGTCCCAGCTACTTGGGAGGCTGAGGCAGGAGGATCGCTTGAGTCCAGGATGTCAACGCTGCAGTGAGCCATGATCATGCCACTATACTCCAACCTGGGTGAACGAGCAAAACGCTGTCTCAGAAAAAGAAAAGAAACAGAGAGACAGACAGAGAGAAACAGAGAGAGAGAGAGAGAGAGAGAGAGAGAAATAAAAACCAGAGACAGACAGAGAGAAACAGAGAGAGAGAGAGAGAGAGAGAGAGAGACGAAGAAAAAGAAAAACCAGTTGTGGGCGCGGTGGCTCACACCTGTAATCCCAGCACTTTGGGAGGACGAGGTCAGGAGATCGAGACCATCCTGGCTAACACGGTGAAACCCATCTCTATTAAAAATGCAAAAAATTAGCCAGGCATGGTGGTGGTGCCTGTAGTCCCAGGTTACTCGGGAGGCTGAGGCAGGAGAATGGTGAGCCAAGATCGCGCAACTGCACTCCAGCCTGGGCGACAGAATGAGACTCTGTCTCAAAAAAAAAAAAAAAAGAAAAAAAAGAAAAAGAAAAAAGAGAAACCAGTTTGATCCTTTTGAAGTTTACTTTTAAGTTTTATTACGTTAGATCAGAGCAGCCTCCAGTCTAGGGCTAATATTTCTCTGACGCTAAGACAAAACCTAATTTTTTTCGCCACTAAGGCAAAGCCCTATGAATTTTCCATATGAGCCAGTAGGAACAGGCACTAGTTCCATCCCTGTGTGAGCTCAAAAATTGTTCACTCTGCTGCTTTCAGATGTTTTTCCCCACCACAGACAGTTCCCTCATACACATGTGCTGATCAGTCCTCAGCTATCTATTCATGGAACCCTCTGAACCTCTCCAGAGCTCTCTCTCCTGTCCTGTACTCTCTCCTGCAAACTAGAGGCCTTGGCCTCCCTGGACTCCCAGCTCTATCTCCTCCATCAAAGAGACAGCCAGGCTCAGCCTGGGTTCCTCCATCCTGCAGCCTGGTAACCTCACAGGCAACAAGCTGGGGCAAATGTAAAGCTCGTCTACTTTGTTTTCAGTCTTTCAGCGATTACAGTACTGTTCTGTGCTGC